CCGATTGCCCCCAACTGCCCCCCCTGCCAGCCTGGTTGCCCCTAACTGCCCCCCTGCTGGCCTGGTCACCCCCAACTGCTCCCTGCCAGCCTGGTTGCCCCATGCAGCCTGCTGTTCAGTCATTTGGTCATCCCTCACTAACCCCCCTGCCGGCTTTGTTGCCCCATGCAGCCTGCTGTTTGGTTGTTACTGTTACTGTGATGGTGCCCTGGACAATTTGCATATTCCTCTATTATTAGTATAGATATATATAGGAAACCTCCATTTGACCAAGAATTTTAAGGAAAGTAAATCATGCCCCTTGCCATCAGGAATGAGAAAATACAATTTTGGCTTTGAATGGAACTACAGGAACCCATCTGTCTATCATTCATCCATTCTGCAAACCTTTGGTGAATGTCTGCCAAATATGTGACACTATGCTTGCTAATAGAATTTCAAGTGAATTAATGAAGAATCTTCAAGTTGAAAGAGATATTTCCATTGCAATGAGTTGCTCTCACATTATCAGTTGACTTACTGAGAACTGTAAAATGGAAAACAACCTATGGATGTGTCAGAGGAGGTGAGTACTGAGACTAAATCCATAGGGAGAGGACCTACAGGAGCCTTTTACTCCATGCACAGATGACATGCACTCTGGGATTTATTGAAGGTTTTCAACTGAGCAGTAATGTAGCCATAGCTTTGTTTTAGAATATTTGGAGATAGGATTGGGGTCATGGTCAACCCTGGTAGTTAGTGGGTCAATAATAAGCTTTTGCTATGATCAGGAGAGAAATGAAAAGCAGTTTGGTCTGTAACAGGGGTGGTGAGAATACTCAAACATAAAAAGATTCAAGTGATATTTAAGAGTCTTCACTGGACTAACTGATTAAGTGGATACAAGGGACAAAGAGGGGGAGAAAGCAAGGATGATGTTTCACTTCATCTATGTGGACCCCAATTTTTATCTATAAAATGGATTTATTGTCATAACAGTATTTACAATGCAGGGTTGTTGTAGGGATCATATGAAAACAATAAAAGTAGAATCACTCTGTAAACTTTGAAAAGCTCTATATAAATGTTTGTTTAAAACAACAACAACTAAAGGTGTTAGAGGAAGAAAGTCTCTTCTTTGAATCTCAATATTGTCATCTACAAAAATGGAACAGTGAGGTTGCCCTCTAGCTCAACATTCCTTGGCTCTATGACACTTTCCTTGACAAGGTAGAGAGTAATTCACCCAATTCTTTGAGATGAAATGGAAAGACTAGCTCATACCATCACTACAATTTCAAAGGTGAGCCTTTAATTCTGCTCCATACCCTAATATGTGCTGGGCAGGCATCATTACTGTGCACTTTCTCTCTATGCCAAGTCTGGACATGAGAAAGTGATGAATACATGGTTTTTAGGATGAGCTACTTACTGTCTGATATTAGTTTGTATTGCTTAGATATAATCAATATTCTGCATGTCCTAAAAAAACTTTCCTCCCTCCGCCTTGCAAAATGAAGACCAGCCAGTTTTCCTTACAATCCTTATTGCTTTCCCGAGAAGTTCTGTCCTCTCTTTTTCTAGCCCTTTTCTATTTGCTTTAGTTCCCAATAACAGCACCAGAATCTATTCCTAAATAAACCTCACAAGATGTATGAAAAACAAAATTTATTGATTGTGTGCTTCAATAGCTATAGTCATTATAGTTGAATTTCAAGTTTGACCAATTAATCTCTCATTAATTTATCCAGAAAGAATAAACAGAAAAAACAAGTTCACCACTCTAGGCTGTGGCCTTCACAGGTGACTCACTCTACAGTAATTCGGGAACCATGAATATTCCAGTTGTCTCCCTGCTTCCCTTTTCAACTTTAGGCTGGTCTTGAACCTTGTAGGATCCCTCAGGGTTCCCTGGACTTACCTTCTTCTCAAGTTTTTATTTAGTTAAAAAAAATACACAAAATATATTTGGTTAGCATTTCTCTATAGGGTCTACTACTTCATGCCACTCTGATTAGGGAGAAATACCAATCTCTATATGTTTTTCTGGCTGAAAATTATAATTGTCTATATTCACATCATTCTTCAAAGCATTAGTTTTATACTTTATTTCATTTAAGTTTATAAACCACCAACTAACTACTCTTTCCATTGTAACTATTTCTTGGTTACTAGCTATAGTAAGAAACATTACAATCTATAGGTGATTTAAAAAAAAATTCTTAACTTACTTCTGCTTGGAAAACCATGAGAGCAGAGAGAATTTTTTAAAAAAACTGTTAACCCAGACAACTACCAGGTTAATTCATAAATAGATGATTTTTTGTTAGTTGTTTTTTAATTAAATTTATTGGGATCACATTGGTTAACATGAACTTACCGGTTTCGGGTATGATTTCTATGTTGCAAGATCTGTATATTACACCATGTGCCCACCATCAAAAGTCAAATCTTCTCCCACCGTATATTAGGACCCCCTTCTCACCCAGCCCCCTTCCCTCTGGCAATAGAGATAGAGGTTTAAAGATATATATAAAAATCAGAATTGAGGGAAATAACTATTCTAATCTTGTCCTAGTTTATTTTTTAAGAGTAAGTTACGTTCCAATTTTTTTTTTCCTAGTATTGAGTTTCGTATTGTTTCTAGCTCATTAACTTTCCTTGTCTCTCCCAGAGCAACACATTTCACCACTGTTTTGCATATGGGAGGCATAAACAAAAGCGGGACATTTTAAGGCATGATCCCATGGGGCCTTCGAGAAGTTTATATTTCACTGGAAACTCTGAGCATCTTTTGCCCAGCTAAGGAGAACATCTGCTTCCTCTTAGCAACTTTAAATACACTTTGATCCTGACGTCTTTCAATATCACCCACACAATGTACTTGAGGTTTTCCTGAGAAAATGGGAGAGGGAGTGACATTTGAGTTGGGGGCAAACTGCCACTTTCCAGGAGACATTTAACTAAAGGTTTTGCTTAGGAATAAAAAAGCACAGTTTTAGTGCTGCTTATTCTTGGTTTTTGCTTAGAAACCTCTTTCTGCAATAACGCTTAGCGTCTATGTAGCATTTTAAAGCATTAAACAAATTACTCCTCAACCAACCCTTTGTCAGGAAGTCAATTAGGTAGAATATAATTTGTAGATGGAAAACCAAGAAATGAGCTGACTTAATTAGAATTCAGATGTATACTCCATGCTTCCAATTATCATTCTCCCCCAACCACCAAGAATTTCCATGTGTCAGCATGATTTTAGCCAAGACCTTTCTGGTAATTGTCTATTTCAAATGTAAGATGTTCCACCAACTACATTACTTTGGGCTCCTTTATTTATTAGTTCATTCCAAAAGCACCTACTGAGTGCAGAGTAAGCGTTTAGACATTGTAGGTCATTTTTATCAAATTAAATAATAATTTAACTCAAGGGTCAGAAAACTATGGCCCCTGGACCCTGTTTTTTTTTTTAATTTTAAATATATTTTTATTGATATTTTACAGAGAGGAAGGGAGAGGGATAGAGAGCTAGAAACATCGATGAGAGAGAAACATCGACCAGCTGCCTCCTGCGCACCTCCTACTGGGGATGTGCCTGCAACCAAGGTATATGCCCTTGACCGGTATCGAACCTGGGACTCTTCAGTCCGCAGGTCGACGCTCTATCCACCGAGCCAAACCGGTTTTAGCTGGACCCTGTTTTTATAAATAAAGTTTTACTGGAACACAATTATACCCATTTGTTTAGATATTCTCTATGGCTGCTTTTGAATTGTAACTTCAAATTGAAATTGAAATGATTCGGTAACTGCAAGAGAGATCATACAACCCACCAGACCAAAATATTTACCATGTGACCCCTTACAGAATGAGTTTGTCAACCCTGTTCTAGCTCCGTGATTTCTAAACACCTCGTCTAACTGCACATGGATCTCCCGAGAACCAGTTAAAGGCGTAGACCCTACACCCAAAAGATTCTGATTCAATAGGTTAGTGGGAAAGGCACGCAAAATCTGTTTTATTTTTTTAAAACCTCTTAGGTGATTGGGTTGTAGAACTCCATTTGAGGAATGCTGTTCTAGGTGATAAAATTTAAGAATAGTCAAGAGAGAGATTTTTTTTTTAAAGTAGGCATGCCCATGGGATGAGACTAAGGACCAGCTTCTCAGAAATGGCAATTATCTTCAAGTTTTGATCATTTGAATTGTTCGAAAACCCAAAATTACTGCAGGCAGTAGAGAAAACAGTTGAGTAAAGATGTGGAGATGGTAGGGAACAAGAATGAAAGAATACAGCAAGGAAACAGATCTAATCAAAGACAGGGTGTCATTCAAGATACATGAAAGGAAATATTTCATTTGTATGGAGTTGGTGATCAGAGCAATAGATGCCCTTGAAGGCTTATTGAAAACACTTTCAGTCTAAATTAATAGCTCAAGATCTGAGTTGCAGTAGAACTGATCCAGCCAAGCAGTGTATCCCAATCTCTGTGATGAACAATGGAGGTCATTAGTAATGTTTTGCGTTAGGTTAGGGTCAGGAGATACATTAAATCAGCAGCTACTTCAGAGTTTGAACCTGCAACTTGAACCTCATAAGCAACTTAATCCTCAAAGTTTAATGACATCAGCAACATGGAGAGGGCTTGCTAACACTCAGAAAGTTGAGTTTCCCCTCTAGAGTTTCTGGTTCAGTGGGTTGGGAGCAGGATCTGAGAATCTGTATGTCCAACAAGTCCCCTGATGATGCTGATGGTGCTAGTCCAGGGACCACCTTTGAGAACCACCACTCTAATCAAATGAGACAAATGTCTGGGAAAGATGGGGCGCATAGTGTGCACATAAGTAGGCTCTGTCACACCGAAGCTCACTCAGGTCCACAGCTGATACACTGAGACAAATGCACTATTTTCCTTCAGGTTTGAACTTTTAGAAGGTCTCATCAGTTTGGATGGAAACCAAATTGAAATCATAGGATCATAAATAATGACAGAACCAATAATAGAATAGGCCTTGGAGACCCTTTAGTCCAACCTATTAGATAATAGACTAGATGGAGAAACTGAAAAACAAAGAATTTACCTGGTTTAACTGCATCCAGGTTCTAATGGCCACCCAAGGGTGTAGTTCTTCAGAAGGAAACTGTGTAATAAACAAAGGAGATCTTTAATATTAAGAAAATAAACCAGGACTGAGTTCATATCCCCTTAGTTTACTAAACAGCTTACAGATGGAAACAACATATGAACTCGCATTTTATTAATTATACCAAAGGGAGGACCACAGTGGCAGAAACAACCACCAAAACAATTAATCAAGATTAGAAATCAACTTTGGCTCTTAAGTAACTGGTAGACTAGAGTAAAATGTATTTCTGTATTACCTCGTGATTTTAAAAGGCAAACTATCAAATTACTAATATTGACTCTTTTATTTAGTTCTTGACTGTTTTTGCTGAATTTCAAGTTAAGGAAATTGAAGCTTGATTCAGGTTCAAGTCTTAGTTCCTGATTATGGGTAAATGACAACTCAGGTAACTGCAATTGATTGAGAGTGACATCTAAGCAGAGACGCTTCACTCCTTTTGGGCTCCCAGGGCACTTAGAAATAATTCAGATATGGTTTCTTATCAGCTGGGTATTAGCAGCCTGTAAATATGTGTCCCCATTCACGTAATGAGTTCTGACAGAGTAAAAGCCACCTGGAAACCTTTAAGCTCCTTTTTCAAGAGGTGTTTTAGCTACTTTTCCCTGAGGTACAACCAATCAACAATACATTATTTTAGTTTGTTGACATGTGGAGTGTGTCAGGCTTTTGTTTTGTCTTGTTTCATTTTTCTGTTTTTCATTTGCTTTCATTTGTTTGCTGTTTGTGCTCTTCACTTGTCTTTAAAATGTAGAACAAAAAGGATCAGTTTCCTTGTCCAGCCACATGTCATATGTAGATAAAAATGAGTTAATCTTTAATGAAGCAGAAAGTGAGCTATCTAAAGGCAATTTCCTTCCAGGCTTTACATGATGGCTCTTGTTCATTTTATTGGGTTCATCAACCAAATGGTTATTTATTCATATATCCATCCATCATATATCGAACATTACTATGTGGAAGGCATTTTGACAGGTTTGGGTTACCCCCAACATTGTAATTATTTGAAAAGAAGAAGGATCAAGGAAATGCTGCTCTCATACTAGGCACCACTTCAGTTCTTATTTCCTTTTGGTTTCATCATGGTGCAATTTCTGCACTCTGGTTTATTTAATCATTTTACAAACAAGATTACTCTTCCATCATTTTCAAAGTGATGAAATAAAGAATTTGATAATTTCTTTGCTTGAAAACTCTGGGTATTATGAAATATTCTGTTCTTTATAAGTTAAATACAATTTTCCTCAGCCTGGTAATTCGAGGTACTCTTTCCAAATTTATCCTAACCTTGAATGAAAGCCAGTATCTAAGTCAAGCCTGTTTATGCATGAATTCCTACGCGCATGTTAAGGAACTCACCTTGGTGTTTGGCTGTTTTCTTTCAACTTAGAATGAATTCCACATCCCCAAAGATTATGAATTCTTCAAAGACCAACTTCAAGTTCAGCCTCCTCTCCTGGTCTCCTTTGGGAGCCATGACACCACAATGAGATTGTTCTCTGGACTTTCAGGACTAATGTGTCTACATCACTCATCTGACAGATCGAATACTGCCTTTTATTATGAACTAGAGGCCCGGTGCATGAAATTCGTGCAATGGCAGGGTCCCTAGGCTTGGCCGGCGATCAGGACCGATCTGTGGGGTGACTGGGGGGGGGCGATTGGGAGATCCCCCGCTGGCATCCACCTTGGCTGGCCTGGGGCCTGTGGGCTGGGGGCAGCTCCTGCATTGAGTGTCTGCCCCTTTGTGGTCAGTGTGTGTCATAGCAACTGGTCATTCTGCCATTCGGTCTATTTGCGTATTAGGTTTTTATTATATAGGATTATTGTTTTGAAATATGTGTGCTATAAGCTCTTTGAGGACAAATAATAGGGCACGTATTTCCTTGTATATCTCATAGAGTTTAACTAAATTTTTTCATATACATATTTTCTTTATTCAAAGGAGCAGATATAATAGAAATGGATACTAGAAGAATATATAATTTAAGGAAATATATTAATAGTAGTTGGCTTTGTATCCATGCATGAATGATTTTTATACATTTTACTGCTTTGTGTTTTCAATCTTTTTATTGTGGATAACTGATGAAATGTATTTTGCTAGTTGCATACAATAACCTCAGGATTTAAAAGTCTATTATCTAATATCCCTGAGCAGAACTAGGCTCTTTCTTCACATTTCTGTATGTCAGAATTATATGTCAGATTAGAATCACAATACATGAAACTAATAAAAAATAGTGTTGAATGCAAATTGTAAATGAAAAATAAAAAAATATTAGAATTGCAGAATACTTTGTAGGTTACAAAGAGATGTAGAATATTGGGAAAATAGAGAAAACAAGAAAAAATACATAAAGTTTATACAGGAAGAATGCTCTTGTTTAACATGTAAAATGAATAAATATGTATATAGTGGGAAGACAATATATAGTATACTTTGTATGTGCACATTGTATATATGTAATATAAATATATGTGATAAATGCAGATATAATCAGTTAAGCACATACAATTTTTCTAATAAAAATCTGTAAATGCACAATGGAATACTACTTGGCCATAAAAAAGGAAGGAAATCTTACCCTTTGTGACAGCTTTGATGGACCTGGAGAGCATTATGCTAAGTGAAATAACCAGTCAGAGAAAGAAAACTGCCATATGATTTCACTCATATGTGGAACCTAATGAACAAAATGAACTAACATGAAAAATAGAGACAGACTAACATACAAAATAGAGACAGACTCATAGATAGAGAGGAGGCTGAGAGCTGTTAGGGGTGGGGTTGGGGAGCTGAGTGGGAGGGTGGAGGGATTGAGCAAAAACAAAAAAAGAGAGAGAGTGAGAGAGAAAGAATTCAAGGACAGGGACAATAGTGTGGTGACTGCCAAGGGAAGGTGGGGTGGGAAGAGAGGGAAGAGGCTGGCGGGGGTGATGGTGATGGACAGAGACTTGACTTGAGGTGCTGAACACACAATACAGTGTACAGATGATGTGTTGTGGAATTGTGCACCTGAAACCTGTATAAGTGTGTCAACCAGTGTCACCCCAATAAATTCAATGAAAAGGAAAAAAAGACTGTAAATGGTGTTCTTTAATCTCTTTTTCCATTATGTCCACTGCAATAGTTTTTCATGTCCTTAAATAATATTTTTAAGAATTACATATAATGGCTACTTATTAATCCATTTTCTAGCTTAACTATAATTGAATTACAAAACAATACACAGTTTTTCCACAGATTTGCTTAGCCCTGGCCAGGTGGCTCAGTTGGTTGAAAAGTTGTCCTATACAACAAAAAGTAAGTTGCAAGTTTGATTCCCAGTCAGGGCACATGCAGGAAGCAGCTGATGGATGTTTCTATTCTCTCTCTCTCTCTCTCTCTCTCTCTCTCTCAAAATCAATAAACATATCCTTGGATGAGGAAAAAAATAATTGCTTAAAAATTAAGTACTTCACCCTAACCAGTTTGGCTCAGTGGATAGAGCATCAGCCTGCGGACTGAAGGGTCCCAGGTTCGATTCCGGTCAAGGGCATGTACCTTGGTGGTTGTGGGATCCCCAGTAGGGGGTGCAGGAGGCAGCTGATCGATGTTTCTCTCTCATCAATGTTTCTAACTCTCTATCCCTCTCCCTTCTTCTCTGTAAAAAAATCAATAAAATATATTTTTAAAAAATTAAGTACTTCAATGGAACCCAATAGATAAAATTCATGCACATCCATTTTAATTTTTTAAGATAAATTACCAGAAGTATAATTTCTGTGTTAAAAGATAATCATATACTTAGATGTGATGTTTATTACTAATTTGGCCTCTATAAGGCCAAAGTTTTTAATTTCACATTTCCTTTTTTAAAATTTACTATATTTTTATAACTTTATTGGGGTGAAATTGGTTAATAACATTACATCATTTGAAGTGTACAATCTATATGTATAAAAGCAACTGAACAACTGGTCTACCGGTTGCTATGATGTGCACTGACCACCAGGGGGCAGATGCTCAACGCAGGAGCTGGCCCCTGGTGGTCAGTGCGCTCCCACAGAGGGAGCACTGCTCAGCTGACCAACGGGTGCCAGACGCAGGGCTCACAGCTGGCCGCCACAGTTCGGAGACCACAGCAGAGCAGCAGCAAGCCTACCGAGAGGTGGCTGCAGCAGGCACAGCGGGACCAGGATGAGCAGGACCAGTAGGCAGGAGCAGCAGGCGGCATTGAACTGCTGGTTTCAACTCAATCCCTGCAAGCTATGCTGAGGGACCCCACTGGTGCACGAATCCATGCACCGGGACTCTAGTTATGTAATAATACATTATCTGTATATTGCATTGTGTGCACATCAACCAAAGCTTGTCTCCCTCTTTCACTATAAATTTTTCTCCCTTCACCCTCTTTATACCCTCCCCTTCTCATCTGGTAATTATCCTTCTGTTGTCTGTAATGGAGGTTGTTTGTTCCTTTCTTTCTTTCTGTTTTATATTCTACATATGAGTGAAATCACATGGTTCTTGTCTTTTCCAATCTTATTTTGCTTAGCACAATATTCTCGATACATCCATGTTGTTGCAAATGGCAGTATTTCATCTTTTCTTGTGGCTGACTAGTATTCTGTTGGGTACCACAGTCTCTTTATCTAATCATCCATCAAGATATACTTAAGTTGTTTCTATGTCTTGGCTACCATGCATGATGCTGCAATGAACATAGGGGTACATATATCCTTATAAATAAAAATTTGAAAATTTTTTTAGGTAGATACCCAGAAGAGGATTGCTGAGTCATATGGTAGTTCTATTCCTTTTTTTCTGTTCTGCTTGTTCAGTTGTTTTTTTAGATTCAATTGTTGATAGATATGTATTTATTATTCATATTTTTTTCTTCTTCTTTTAAAATAAGACCCTTTAATAATCCATGTAATACTGGTTTGGTGGTGATTATCTCCTTTAGATTTTTCTTGTCTAGGAAACTCTTTAAGTCTAAATGTCCTTCAAGTCTAAATGATAGCTTTGCTGCGTAATCTTGGTTATAGGTCCTTGCTTTTTATCACTTTAAATATTTCTTGCCATTCCTTTTGACCTGCAAAATTTCTGTTGAGAAATCAGCTGACAGTCTTATGGGAGTTCCCTTGTAGGTAACTAACTGTCTTTCTCTTGCTGCTTTTAAGATTTTTCTCTGTCTTTAATCTTTTGCATTTTAATCATGATGTGTCTTGGTGAAGGCACCTTGGGTTCATCTTGTTTGGGACTCTAAGATTCTTGGACTTGTATGTCTATTTCACCAGGTTAGGGAAGTTTTATGTCATTATTTTTTTCAAAGAGGTTTTTAATTTCTTGCTGCCTTTCTTCTCCTTCCAGCATCCCCAGGATGTGAATGTTGGTATGCTGGAAGTTGTCCCAGAGGCTCCTTACCCTACCTGCATTTTTTTAGATTCTTTTATCTTTTTGCTGTTAAGATTTCTTTTGCTTTCTTATATTTCAAATCACTGATTTAAATTTAGGCTTCCTCTACTATACTGTTGATTCCCTGTAAATTATTCTTCATTTCAGTTAGTGTATTTTTTTTTCTGGCTGGTTCTTTTTTATGGTTCCCATGTCCTGTTTTATGCTTACTTTTTGGCTTCCTCTACTATACTGTTGATTCCCTGCAAATTATTCTTCATTTCAGTTAGTGTATTTTTTTTTCTGGCTGGTTCTTTTTTATGGTTCCCTTGTCCTGTTTTATGCTTACTATCTCTTTCTTGAAGTTCCCATGAAGTGCACTGAGCATCATTGTGACCCATGTTTTGAACTCTGCATCCAGCAGATTACTTGTCTTCATTTTGCTTAGTTCTTTTTCTGGAGTTGTGTTCTGTTCTTTCATTTAACATATAGTTTTGTCTCCTCATTTTGGCAGCCACCCTGTGTTTGTTTCTATGTATTAGATAGAGCTGCTATATCTCCTGGGCTTCGTACAGTGGCCTTATGTAATAGGTATTCTGTAGAGTCCAGTAGCACAGCCTCCACAGTAACTCAAGTTGAGCACTTCAGGTGTGCCCTGCCCCTAAGTGGTCTATGTTATAGTTGAGCCATGATTGCTGTTGGCACATCAATAGGAGGGATTTGCCCCTGGGCTGATCAGCTGCAAGGACTGGCTACAACCACCTACCACCATGGAGGATCAGCTCTGCAGGGACCAACCCCACAGAGCAGGAATTACTTTGGTGGGGCTATGATGCCCACTGAGTTTTCTCCTTAAATGTGTTGCTTGTGGAGGTAGTTAGGTGGTGCTCTGATGTGGGCTGAAGCTGTCCACTGGGTGCACTGGCTCTTGGGCCTCCAAGAGTTGTAGGCCAAGGTCAGCCACTGCCTGTGTTCTGCCTTGGCCACTCAGCATGAGCTACAAAAGGATCTGCAAATGGCTGCTACTTCAACTGGGCTTGGAAATGCCCAGATGAGGCCAA